AGTACTCTCACACTTGGTTCAAAACTCTCCATGCATTCACTCAACATTTCCCAAAATTTCTCTCTCTCCTCTATACTTCTATCTTCCCCAGTGCATATACACTTACTATAACCCACTTCTTACATCCAACCTTTATTTTACTCCACATAATCCTTGAATTAATTCATTTATAGTCCCTCTTTTCCTGCTATAGCTTATCCTTCAACATTATTGCTGCTCCTTCTTTAGCTCTAACTCTCTTTGAAACCCCTGACCTAATCCCATTTATTCGTCTCCACTGGAACTCACCCACCCCCTTCAGCTTTGTTTTACTTAAAGCCAGGACATCCAGCTTCTTCTCATTCATAACATTCACAATCGTCTCTTTCTTATCATTCGCACAACATCCACGCACATTTAGACTTCCCACTTTGACAGTTTTCTTCTTCTTATTCTTTTTAGTAATTATTACAGGAAAAGGGGTTACTAGCCCATTGTTCCCAGCATTTTAGTTGACTTGTACAACACGCATGGCTTACGGAGGAAAGATTCTTATTCCACTACCCCATGGATATAAAAAGAAAAGTAATAAGAACAAGAACTAAGATAAAATCAAAGAAAACTCAGATGAGTGTGTATAAATAAACATGTACATGTATGTTTAGTGTGACCTAAGTGTAAGTAGAAGTAGCAAGACGTACCTGTAATCTTGCATATTTTTGAGACAGACAAATACACCAGCAATCCTACCATCATGTAAAACAATTACAGGCTTTCGTTTTACACTCACCTATAGATGAAACATTAAGGAAAAAAGAATTTTGGCCATGATGGTGTTTTATGTTTTTGTTCTACACAATGCCTCATATATGCTGACCTACAGTTGATTACTAGACATATCACAGCTTTTATGATCAACAGAATTGTGTTATGTAGGAAATAGATGAGCCTCTACAGTGGCCTCCAGTGTGATTTGGTCAGTTTTGGCATGTGGTCCCATCAAGGGAGGTGGAGGTGCCTAGATGCTGGGGAGGGACTGTTGATTCAAGGAATTAAACCTGTTCTTTCCTTGAATGGAACCCAACTGCCTTCCATTTCCTAAGAGCAGTAAGACTCCTGCAGGTGGGAGGGAGTAAGGGAGGTTTTGCATGCAAGGGGCATGGACAACAGCAGCCTTTGGGTAAAATATTTAGATGGGGTGGTGGAGAAAAATTTTTTTTGGGGATCTGATAAACGTTTTTGAGTGGAGCAGGGTAATATTTTGTGAATGGATTCGGGAAACTAGTTAGCCAGACGGATTTCTGGAAGGGGAAGTGCAAGCCCTTTCCTTAAGGATTTGGGATATTTGCTATTTTAAAATACTCTAAACTGTTGTATTGCATCCCCAGGCAAAACAGTGATATTGAATGATGGTGCGGTGTTTCTTTATTGGTTCACCCAGCCTTTTTGAGAATGACCTTGGGTTAAAAAAAATTTAAAAATGTTGCATGGGGTTGTCTATTTTGATGTTTTTACACTGAAATTTTCAACAAGGGTGACCACCCAAATATTGGAAATTTGTTCATCTCATTTTGCTACCCTCTAAATTGAAACATTTTAAGGGGGGGTGAGGATGTTAAAGTCGAAAACCGTCTAATTGTGATGTCAACCACTTATTTTAGGCAGTGATCGAATAAATGATAGTAAAAAGTTTTCCTCTTTCTGGGTCCCCCAACATCAGAGGGATTTTTTTTTTTTTTTAAAAGAAAGCCAAACCAACCAAGGTAGGGGAAAAAGGAAAACAAAAGTCTCCTATTTAAATTTAAAATTTAACAAAAGGGGGGTTTATAGCCCTTGCTTTCGTGGGAAATGCCCCATGTAAAAAAAAAACACTACAAAATATTTTAAAACACACCATATTATTATTTTTAAATCGTTGACCTCGAAAAACGATATTAATCCATTCCTGAGACTAAACTTAATCGAAATTATCGTTAGTTGAGTTAAATTTCCCCATAAGAAAAAATGAAAATCAAATTAACCCTTTTCCTGCCCCCCCAAATATTGAAAAAAAAATTTTTTACTACGTGAAATATTTTTTTTAATTTAAAAAAAACTGAAAAAGACTGCACAGTTTTTTTACATTACCTTTATTAAAATTTGGGTGAGTTGAGGGGAGGGGAGGAGGGGAAGTGTTGAGGTGTTAGTGTTTGAAGGGGGAATCCCCTTCCATTGGGACTTAGGGGCAAGTCCTTTTCTGGGGTACTTCCTTTTTCTTTTAATGCCCTGGGACCACTTCAGAGTCACGGACTTCTGTCGCACAACACATCGTCCATAGAGGCCTGTACCCCCCGTTCCTTTATGCTTTCCAAAGGTTTTTCACAACATTGTAGTGTACAGGTTCCCAAACACAGTTTTGCAGTAGCTTGTCGGGGGATTTTCCCCAAAAAAGTTTGCATTTAACCAATTGCACACTTTTCCTTAATCTTTGAAGTAGGCAACTCTTCAATTTCTCTATCCCCTCCTCCGAACAGTTTCCCGGGTTTGGGGCCCCTTTTGCTGTTGAAAAAATCTAGCAGCTCATCGGGGTTATTCGTCATTGTCCTCCTCCCCCAAACCCTTTTCCCAAACCCCTCCCCACTAACCCCCAAACCCCAAGGACCCCCCAATGCACAAGGGATTCTTCATCGGGCATAGGTTTCCCGGGTTGCCCAAACCCTTCAAAATCCCTTTTGTCTACACTTTCTGGCCCATTTTTTCCAAGCAGATTTTAAAGGTCCCTGTCACTTCCTCCCAAGCCTTACCAAAATTTTTTTCACAATTTAGGATGCTAAAGTACTCTCCCAAAACTCTCTTAGAGTCAACTGGGTTTACTACAAAGCACCTTTCAAACATGCTTTTGTGTACAGTTTCTTGAAGTTGAAAAGACCTGCTGGTCCAGGGCTGCAGGAGAGGGGGTAATTAGGAGGGAAAAACTTTCCCTTAAAGAAGCTCTTCTGCAGAAGTCCTTTTGTCAAGTCGAAGGGTGACCAGGAGCATTTTCTAATACCAGGGGCACTTAAGGGCCAATTTTTTTCCAGGAGGTAATTTTTTCGTTGGGGGGAAAAGCATGGGGGAACCACAGTCATAGAAAAAAACCCTGTGACCAGCCTTTCGTTTGCCCCCCACAACACACAAATTAGCCTTGAGGACATTTTTTTTCCTGAACACTCGGGAGTTTCAGGAAAGGTACACCCAAAAAAAGGTCACTTTGCAATCGCCATACATTGGCACAATCAACAGAGTAACCTGTCTTTTATAGGGTTTTGTCCTGGAGTGCCTTTTTTCCCCCTTTAAAAGTAGGTCCTGCTTGGCATTTTCTTCCCAAAAAAGGCCGTTTTTGGGCACAATTTAAACACTTGTTCAGGTTTTATCCTTTACGTCTATGTACTCCTTTAATTCCTGCACAGTTTTTCAGCCTTGTTGTGGTCCCCAAAATGGCAGCCTCACCATGCCTTATCACACTATGTATGCCATAGATTTTAAATCTCTCAAAACCAAATTTGCTGGGGCCCAATTTACCACATCACCACTAGTTGCTGGGATTTTTTAATTAAACCATGCAACTTCCAGCCTTTTTTTACATATGATCGCTTGAAGATGCCCATCTCCTGCTATCTGTTTTTCGTTATCCCCCCATAACATCTCTCAACATCTTCTATCACTTGCGATCTCAGTTTCAAAAACATAGTTTCAACTTTGCAAGAAAAAGTTCCTTGATTGCCTTTTTTCTTTATTGTTGATTGGGGTTTTGTGTCACCTGGCCCCTGGGAACACGCATCCACTTTCTACTTTGCAAAGACTCTTTCTTCATATCCATAGTAATTTTACCTTTTTTTTTCTTAGGGGTTGGCAAGAGCTTTCTTTGGGGGCCCCTGGTGACTTATTTTTTAGGGCAATCACTACAAACACTGTGATAATATGAAATGTTCCAATTGTATGTTTGGATGGGACCACGGTGGCTGGCTGGCTTGTAAACACTGGCACCCACGGGACAAGTGAGGCGCGCTCAGGCTACAAGTGGACGCGTCTCGAACGGAACGAATAGCGTTGGTCGGGTTTTTTAGCGCTAGTCGAGGCAAAATTTTTGCATTAAAATGTATCGATAGTCGGATTTAACATTAAACGATGCCAACATTGGTCGAGGGTCCACTGTATTCTTATAGTTAGGAAAGTGCTAAACCAGTAGGAGTCTTAAGTCACTTAGGTAATTAGAAAAATATTTTGGGAATATTGTAGAATATTGAACATCTTACTTTACCTAAATGTTTGCACAGTGGAACCTCAGTTTTCGTTATTAATTCGGTCCAGAAAGTCTGACGAAAACTGAATTCGACGAAAACTGAAGCAGCATTTCCCATAAGAAACAATATAAATCCAGTTAATCTGTTCCAGACACCCAAAAAGTATTAACATAAAAATACATTTAATAGAGAATATCTGTAGTTTTACATACAGAAAACAATGAGAAATATAAAGGACTAATGAAATGGATAAATGAACATTTAACATCACCCCCTATCACTACCACCCTCTACCACAATCACTACCAACCTCTACCACTGTCAGTACCACCATCACTACCACCCTTTACCACCATCACTACCACCCTTTACAACCATTACTGCCACCCTCCAACACCATCACTACCACCCTCTACCACCATCACTACCACCCTCTACCACCATCACTAGCACCTTCTACCACCATCACTAGCACCCTCTACCACCATCACTACCACCCTCTACTGATGAGAAACAAAGCCAGACTGACTCAGAATGCGTGGGATGCTTTGTGTGGGCGTGGGCGGACCACTGTCAACTCGATGAAAACCGAGGTGATAAACGAAAACTGGGAAAAAGTTTTGACAAAAAAAAAAAAAAATTGTCAAAAACTGAATTCAGTGAAAACCAGGGCAAACAAAAACTGAGGTTCCACTGCATTTCACTACAATATACACTGTAACAAAGATAATATTGCTTCAAAAATTTAATATTCTTCAGGCCTGATGCACCAGGGTAGTAATACCGACAGCACCAGTGATGACAGCGATATTGGCAACACCAGCAGTGATGGTAATATTGGTAGTACCAGTAGTGATATACTAGTTGTATTTATGATGATTTTAGTGTTAGTTATAGCTATATTAGTAAGAACAGTGGAAACATATGGTAGGAGTGATGTAAGTGGTTGGCAAGTCTGCAGGTGCCACAACACCTTTGTTAAGCTTTAGTCTATTAAATCTCCCTGTAATTATTTTTTTACTATAGTAGTTGTCTAATTTGTATGTAGTGTAGAAGATAGATCAACTAGAAAAATACTCAGTGTAGTGGCTGGAGCAATTCACAACTAACCCTGAAATTTGAGGTGAAATTTGGCAGAGGGTTCAGTCCATCCTGAGCTTTTATCATGTCTAAACTTCTTTAGTTTGTGAGTTGTGACAGGTTTAACTATTTTGTTAACAGCATAACGTATGGTGGATAAATGATGGCAAGTACAGTACTTAATTTTACTTCACTGCCATTTTTTTTTTTTTTTATGTATTACCTTTCTTACCTGCCATCATTATGTAAATAATATTTACAGTAGAAGTGTACTTTTTTAACACTGACAATCTCCCACCAGGTTAGAAAAGGAAATACATTCCCTATCATTCATTCACTAGCTATTTTGCTGAAGTGTGCAGTCATCACAGTTGAAATGATCCTGCAGATTACAACATCCCCACCTATCCTATAAAGTGCAGGCTCTGTACTTCCCATGTCCAAAATCAACTTGCCAGTTAATCTTGAATCCTTTTACAGTGGTTACTTTCTTCATGCTTAACCCTTTGACTGTCGAAGGGCCCAATCCTGAAGTTGCTCCTGGTGTCGCAAAATATTCGAAAAAAAAAAAATTATTTTTTCTTATGAAATGATAGAGAATCTTTTCCCGATTGTAAAGACACCAAAAAAACGAAATTTGATGGAAAACTGACGGAATTACGCTCTCGCGAAGTTAACGACTTCGGCGATATTTAAAAATCGGCAATTTCGCCCACTTTGAGCCCTATTTTCGGCTAATTCCGTTATTCCAGTCAACCAAACTCATAACTATTTCTTCAGAACTCTATTTTTTCTATCGATTGAGCACAAGAAACTGCCCATTTACCGATTTCAACTACCCAATAACATGTCAGAAATTTGCAATTTGGCCAATTTCACGAAAATTAAAAAATACGACAATTTCAAAATAAGGTCCAGAATGAACAATGCAGACATTCCTGGCTCTAAAATAAGATTTTCTTTGTTCATCAGTCATGTCTCCAGGTCCCTGTGATATTACTCTTGCTTTTTATTTTGAAATTTTATTCAAACGAAAAATAGAAGATTTACTGTTATGCAGACTACTGCAATACTGTAATAATTGTAAAAATTACATCAACCCATTCATGACTGCGTATTAGAATGGCTATTTGGACATTTATTGGACAATGACATCATTTGTTTACTTTTGAACATCGGCAAAAATCAAACATTTCCTGTACTTTGTGCTCCATTTCCAGGTTCTTTTTATAGTAAAATTAATCAAAATCACCTCCATTTCTATAATATAGTTTCCATTCTATCAAATGAGACCATGAAAACGAGAATACAACCACAAATACTATACGAAAATAGACCACAAAGTTGGCATTTTAATTAAAAAAAACGGTCGGAGTTTTTTTTTCTCATTATGCACTGCGTGCTCCAGGATTTTTTTTATGTGGTGCACACTGACCACACAGACCCATTCTCTCACATGTGGGCCTACTAGCTTTCTCCTGCCTGATTTGAAGCCGCTAGAATTTATGAGTATATATACGTCAAACACGGTACCTCACAAACGTATATATACGGCCGCGACAGTCAAAGGGTTAATCCTTTCAGGGTCATGACCTCTGCTCTCAAACTTGCTCTCAGGGTCACAAAATTAAAAACAAAAAATTCTTATGAAATGGTAGATAATCTTTTTCTGAAAGTAATGAAACAAAAAGTACACAATTTAATGGAAAACTGACAAAATTACACTTTTGTGAATTTTGCTGTGATATTGATATTTTATGCATCAATGATTTTGTCCACTTTGAGTTCGATTTTAGGCCAATTCCATTGTTCAGTCAACAAAACTCTTAGCTATTTTTGCTAGTATGACCTCCATTTTATCCAGTGAGTACAAGAAACTGCCAATTCAACTATTTAAACTACCCAATAAAGTGATCAGAAATTGATAATTTGGCCAATTTCACACACAATTCAATAAATGCCAATTTCACAGTATGGTAAAGAATAAACAGTGCAGACATTCCTGGCACTAAAATAACATTTTCTCTGTTCATTAGTTATGTTTCCAGGCCCCTCTTATATTATGCTTGCTTTTCATTTTGAGTTTTTATTCACACAAAGAATACAAGACTTACTTATGCAGACTACTGCATTATTGTGAATTTTTTTTTTCAACGACCAGGCCATATCCCACCAAAGCAGGGTGACCTAAAAAGAAAAACTGAAGTTTCTCTTTCTAAATTTAGTAACATATATAGGAGAAGGGGTTACTAGCCCCTTGCTCCTGGCATAGCTTACGTAGCTTACGTAGGAAGAATTCTGTTCCACTTCCCCATGGAAATAAAGAGGAAATAAACAAGAACAAGAAATATTAAGAAAATAGAAGAAAACCTAGTGGGGTGTATACAGCCTCTCCTTACTTAGTGACCTGCTTGTTTACCGACAACTCGGACTTACGACGGGCTCTCCATCTGGTATGCATACCTAGATAATGTATATTAGAGCTGATTTCCTCTATTCTGTTTATTGCAACATCAAGTACACTACTGTATAAACATTTAAAAATATACCAGAAATGTTATAAATAGTGCAAATGTGACATTAAAACAATATCAAAGATGGTTATTATAGTATGCTCCTCACTTAGTGACGATTCGTTTACTGGACATGGTCTTTTAAACAGAACTCCCTCGCAAGTGAGGAGAGGCTGCATATATATATTCTTGTACATGCATTTGTAGTGTTTCCAAAGTGTAAGTAGAAATAGCAAAATGTACCCGAAATCTTGTAATTTTTTTATTTTTTTATTTTCACACTGGCCCCATTCCCCCCAAAGGCAGGTGGCCCGAAAAAGAAAAA